TTGGATCAGTCACTAGATGGCAATTTTGGCAATCAAAAATATCTTTGGGTATTGCCAAATGTCTCCTACAAGTAGGAGAAGGGAATAGTAAGATTGCCCTCGACTGAGAATGGCTACTTTGAAGGTAAGATGTTATATATTTTTTATAATGCAATTTATTTTCTTAAAAACACAGAGAAGTTATTAATGGTGTGTGTGTGTGTGTGTGTGTGTGTGTGTGTGTATGTGTGTGTACCACAGCACATGTTCATAGATCAGAGGACAACTTGTAGGAATTGGTTCTCTCCTTCTACTATGTGGAATTTGGGGGTCTATCTTGGATTGTCAGGTTTGGTAACAAAAACCTTTACCCAATCAGCCACTTCAACTTCCCATTATGAGTATTTTAGAAAGATACTTTGATCTTGGTCTTGAAAATGGCTAGAAAAAGAGAAGAAATAATGTTAATGATAATGAAGGAATGTTAATTATAGTGTTAAATTTTAACAGAAAGAGGAAATAATGTCCCAGTAGAGAACTATGAATTAATCAGTCTTTGAGTCAATCGATTAATATTTTATTACTGATAATAATGTGTTTCTATGTCCTAGGCCGGTCACATAGCTAAGCATTAGTCCTTCAGATCTATTGAAGTATAGCCCTAAATGAGCAATGAGATTGTATGGTTAGCCCTGTGTACTTTGAGACCTGCCTTAAAGAAGAAGGAGAGAGAGGCATGTGCATCTAAGATCATAGTTTATATTACGGGATGATAATGCTCCAGGGTAGATTAAAACTGTTCAGATCTAGATAGTACCACACTTCTGTGTCCATGGCTCTGTGCTTACCTTCTTTCCTTTCCAGGGTAGAGAGGCAGATGCTCACAGTATTTCACACTGACAGAGTGAGTGTTTAGATCCAAATTCTCATGCAAAGATTCTGAATCCACCACAAATGGGAACCTACAATGTGGATGAATAGGCAGCACATTTTTAAAAAAGATTGCTATGTGTTACTTTAAGAATAATACACTTACACATAATTTTTTCTCTTCTTAAAAACATAAGCAGCTTTGAATCATCTGAAATGCCATTTCAACAACAGCTGATGAATAAGGAGATAGCAAGAGTTCATCTCTTAAAATTAGATCAAAAGTTTTACTGTAATGTTTCTCTTGCTTGGAGTTAAGTTTGCAATGCTAGGACAGCTACCAACCATGTCAAAGGGAGCATTTGTTTGTTCTCAGGAGTAGGCAATAAAGGGACCTCTCTGTTCTTTGTTACAAGGTGCTTCCTTAGAGAAGAAATGCCAGAAGAAATGTGGGAAGTAACAACAGCAACCTGCAGGGAGGTGTTTGGGGTTTTTGTTTTCTTATTTTAGGACAGTGTATATTTTAGAGTAAGATCTTGAATTCATTCCACATCTGAAGATCTGGACCACCAAAGACATCCACAAACTCGTACCTCTATGTGGACAGTCTCACCAGGAAATCAGAATTAAGTTAAGGAATAAATGAAAAGTATGAAGTTTTCACTCTGCCATTTAAAAGACTACAAAATATCTTTTGACATGTTCTAGATTTTTTTGCTATAAATAAGCTATTTTAAGTAATTACTTTAAATTAAAAAATTAAATCAGAGGTATGAACGATCAAAAAACAAAACAAACGAAAAAGTTCGACTGTTATTGCCAACATCAGGCTTTGAAAGGAAGACAAAAATCTCCAAAAGTCTAAAGGGACACAGAAGAGACTGCGGCCTCATTGTCTTCCAGTCTGCGACTCTCACATGTGGCACAACGCCTTTTTTTTTAAGGAATTCAGATAGATTCAATGACTACATTCTTAAAGCCCCTGACCATTCAAAATGTGGCGGGGAGGGGAGGCGGGGACGATGCACCATTATTTTTCAGGCTTCGCAGTTAGGAACAGTTAGGCGCAGGCAATGAAAAGCTAAGAGTGGAACTCAGTAAAAAGTGTCCTGACTTTTAAGCTCTGCGCTCCTCTGTCAGTGTGAGCTACTGTGAGCATCTGCCTCTCTACCCCGCAAAGGAAAAAAGGTAAGCGCAGAGCCTTGGCAAGCCCCACGTACACAGAAGTGTGGTACTATCTCAATCGGAACAGTTATAATCTGCCCCCGAGCATTATTACCTCTGTAGTTTTCTCCACATCCCGCCCCCAAACGAAAACTGACAGCAGAATAGTTATCTCTGGATGCTTGGCCAGAACTGAGCGCCGGCGGGTCTCCCTGTGAAGTGAGGGCCAGAAGGCACCCCAACAGTCTCAAGGCCATTAGCGTGCTGGAAAAATAAAATTAGATAATGAGGTGGGGAGTGGCGGGGGAGGGGGTGTCACTAGAGAATTGTCACAGCGCCCCCACGTTGTTTAACACCTTTCTTTTCTTAAAATTAAGAAAAACCATCCCGAAGGTACAGCTTTCTGCTTGGCAAACAAACACAGGCCATGAGCAAGAGCGTTTGCGGGTGGGACGAGGGTTGCGTTTTGCTAAGAAGCCCACGAAGCGTGCCTCCCCCCGTTTTTTTGGTTGGGGTCTTGGTCCACTCAATCTCTTCCAGTTTTTCTCCAGGTGAAGCCGATGAACAAAGGCGATTCCAAGGGGCCCTTTATTTGTTTTGAGTTAACAAAATTAAGTCCCTGGCGATGGCCGAAGATCTCATCTCCCACCTCAGAGCTCAACCTCCAGCGCCTTCCCGCTGGGTAACCAGGCACCGGTCAAGCTCTGACTGCACCTTCCGGGAGTCTTCCCGCTGCGAGGCCAGACCCTAAGCTCCCAGATTCCCGCTGGGACCCCCAAACACGCAAAGGCCAAACTATCTTTTTTATCTCATATTTGTTGAGCTGTTCAAGAAGAGGGCAATGGGGAAAACATTAGCATTTCCCGGATGAGGCGTCTTGACTCAGAAAAATTAAAATCAATCGCCAGCAAAGGTTAAAGGTAAACAGACAGTGCGTGTTGTTCCTGCCCCTCAACGTGCGGCTTTTAAATTTTGATCTCTGTCAAAGAGGGCAGGGGGAGACTCGGTGGCCTGGGGCACCGCCGGCCTGGACTGGGTCTGGGAGCGACGGTAGGTCCCGGTGGAACCTCAGCCTGGTTTCCAGGATGCAAGATGGAGGTGAAGCAGCTATTCTGCCACCGTGCAGACCCGAACTAGGGCTCGTTTCCCAAAAAGGAAAACTGTTTTTCCGCAGTCCTGCTGGATCTCTGCTTTGTCCGCAAGGTCCCAGGATTTTATTTTATTTTATTTTATTTTCTGTGTTGTGGATTGTCTTTCTCCCCAAGGGTTCACTAAAATTTGTCCTTGGAGCTGATTCTGAAGTCGCTCCAAAGAAGAGAAGGCTTGTGCTGTGTCACTACCCCCCTTGCCCTTTTTATTCTGCCCCTACCCTGTCTCACTTCAAGAAAATAAGCTCTTCGGATAGGAAGCCTCACTGTGGAGGCGGCTGGCAATCTCACAGAAATGATGTAGATGGTTGCAGGGCTTTTCCCGCCCCTTCCCCTCTGCTACTTTCTTTCGAGTGGACTGTGAAGATCTGTGAAAATAATATCAGGGTTTTCCGTCAGAACGAGCTTTAGCCTGCACTCAGGCGTGGTGTGATCTGACCCGACACATCCAACCATCTGTGCTATCTATCTGCCTTCTGATGTACTCGGTCCGTACTAGGCGCACACAAAGTGTGCTTGATACTAAAGAAAAGATAGCCAGGCCCAATCCAGATCGGGCAGTGAACCTTGTCTTCTGATTTCTTGGGACACCGTACCCAGTCTTTCCTTTCTACCAAACAAGCCTCGTCAAAGGCCCACATGAGATCGTGGTTTCCTTGACGGAAGTGTCCGAAAGCGGTATGATGTAGATGTCAATTGGGAATCAATAAATGTTGCCAATTCAATCTATTGGCCAGAAGGCAGGGAGCCAAAAGGGTCCATGCTCTCTGCGGGAGGGGTCAGTGCCCTGTGGCTCTGACCCCTCTCCTTCGCCACCTTAACACACACGGTATTGTGGAACGACCCCACCCTCTGTTTTGCCGTCACTGAATTGCTTCTGATCTAAAAAGCCAAGATTTCTGCCTCCACCCCGGGAGTTGTATGTTCTAACGCTGGGCAGAGGCCAAACCATCCTGCCACGAGAGAACGAAATATCTACGTTTAAAAAGATCTTTGAAGTAGGCTTTTAAGCTGCTGTCCTGACCTACGGATGACTTCTCACTCTAGATGTGGCTGTTGCGCATTTGTTCAAGTCCACTGAACTGGTAAGGGGGGCTGTGAAGTATAACTTTATTTGGGTCAGAAGCCCCCACAGTCCGCCTTTCTTGGTGTTAGACTCCGTGGTTAGCACCTAGTTACCAAGTGTGTGTCCTTGCCGCCACCTTTGAAAACAGTTTCAGGAAGCCTTGAAGGAGTGAAGTTAGACTCCAAACTAACCTCTTTGGCAGATCCCTGGTCCTGTTCCTTCTGTTCCAGGCTTGCTTCCCGGGCAGCTGCTTAGCAGCTGGAAAGGGGTAAGCAGGAGACAGACAGGAATGGGTGCATGGGGGGGGGGGGATGAAGATTTACTTCCCTCCCCGTCCCTTTGGTGTCCGCGCTCCCCGCGGGGTTTGCAGCTTTGCTACGATTTGTTTTTCCCAGTCCTCTTTGTCCTCTGAAGTCCTTTCGACCCAGGCATTGCGTCTCCCCCAAAGTGAATTCCAGCAGCATCCTGCCTCTCTGGTGGGAAAACAAGAGGGAGGAGCGGGGGGGAGGAGCTGGGAGGGTGAGACGCTGTGGTTTTTGCGTGTGTTCCAGCCACTCCTACCTCATTTTCGGGTTCTGTAAAACCCTGGGCAGTCTCCGGGCAAACCGCGGGCGCTGTCGAGTCTGGGGAGGTGCTGAAATGGCCGGGGCGCGCTAGTGGCTGCCTTGATTGGCAGAACTGCCCGGTGACTGACAGAGGGTCTCCATGGCGCCCGCGTCTCCAATCCGCCCACCCCAGTAGCCGCGCGGGCTAGCTGACTGGAGTGCCCAAGCCGAGCAAGCGCAGCCGAACCCAATCCACAGCTCTTTCCAGGCGGGAAGACTCCCCCCACCCCCGACTCTGTACCCCCAGCTGCAACCCACTCGGCCTGCGGGCATCTGCTGCGCATCCTGCTCGGGACGTCCGCGCAACCTCGATGTTCCAGCTGCCCATCTTGAATTTCAGCCCCCAGCAAGTGGCCGGGGTATGCGAGACCCTGGAGGAAAGCGGCGATGTGGAGCGCCTGGGTCGCTTCCTGTGGTCGCTGCCCGTGGCCCCGGCGGCCTGTGAAGCCCTCAATAAGAATGAGTCGGTGCTGCGCGCGAGAGCCATCGTGGCCTTCCACGGTGGCAACTACCGCGAGCTTTACCATATCCTGGAAAATCATAAGTTTACTAAGGAATCGCACGCCAAGCTACAGGCACTGTGGCTTGAAGCGCATTACCAGGAGGCAGAGAAGCTGCGTGGACGGCCCTTGGGGCCGGTAGATAAGTACCGGGTAAGGAAGAAGTTCCCGCTGCCGAGGACCATTTGGGATGGCGAACAGAAGACGCACTGTTTTAAGGAGCGCACGAGGCACCTGCTTCGCGAGTGGTACCTTCAGGATCCATATCCCAACCCCAGCAAAAAGCGCGAGCTCGCCCAGGCAACTGGACTGACCCCCACGCAGGTGGGCAACTGGTTCAAAAACCGCCGACAAAGAGACCGGGCTGCGGCAGCCAAAAACAGGTCAGTAGTACCTAGAGGCCCCCGGGCTTGGTGCTTACCGGGATGGGGCAGGAAGAGGCATTCCAGAGGCATTCCAGGCAGGCGGTGTTCTTACCTAGTGCTTGCTGGATTCCGAGGGGGTTGGGAGTGCCAGTACGCCTTGGGTTTGTGAGACCACTGTGTTCCGGACACCAGTGCAGGTTTCTGGTTCCCCACCATCTCTCTGGTTCGTGGGGCTTTGGGGTCACTATAGCAGCTGGTGTGGGTCACCAAACCAAGGTATCACTGGCGGGCGGAGAAAGATTAAAAGCCCAGAATCAATTAGAAACCAAGAGGCCCGGAGCTAATTCTTGCTAGCATAGACCCGGGCTCTCATCAAGCAAAGCTTTTCTAGTTAGCTTTATTCTTAAAGCCAGGTTGCAGTCTTCTATGATGGTCTGAAAAGGTTTCAGTTTTCAAGGATCTCAGATTTTAAGAACTAAAAGTCATGTTTCCTCGTCTCCAACGGACCATCCTTGTCTCAAACCAAGCTTGCTAGTCGGCCTATGCTTTCCGTTCTCTAGCGTGTGGCTCTCGCATCCCAGGCCCAAACTCTCCGAGCAACCTCCTCCAGGCAGGAGTAGACTTTTTAGCTGGAATAGACCAGATTGCCTCAGGTATGGCCCTGGATAAATGTACTACTAGGAAAGGAATTCCATGTCCTTTGCCGCTTTGCTTTTTCTGCCGATCCTCCAGTAAATCTCCCGACGGTGGGAGACAGCTGAGAAAGATTGGGGAGGCTAAGGAGGAAATCCTGGCGAGCCGGGAAAGGGCATGAGGGAGAGTGAGGCAGCTGGAGGGTTCTACAGAGGAGAGCTGTGCCGCCGTCCAAATTCCGTAGCCTTATCTTCCCCACCTACTCAAAGTCTGAGAAAGAGTAGTCTTGACTCGGAGCTGGGGGGAAGCGGGTCAGAGAAAAGGGGGCGATGCAGTGGTTTCTAGCTCTGACCACGTCCCTTCTTTCCCTGTAGACTCCAGCAGCAGGTTCTGTCGCAGGGCTCCGGGCGGGTGCTACGTTCGGAGGGTGAGGGCACGCCAGAGGTGTTGGGCGTCGCCTCCAGTCCGGCTGCTAGTCTGTCCAGCAAGGCGGCTACTTCGGCCATCTCCATCACGTCCAGCGACAGCGAATGCGACATCTGAGCTGCCCACTCATCAGGCTTAGAAACAGAATCCAGCGTAAAAACGAGATACACAAAATAAAAGGAGAGACGATGAGAACCAGCAAATATAGCGCTGGCAGAAGCTCAGTGGCCAGGGACCCGCCGGCCCAAGTGGTCCTGCCTGCTCCACTGCCAGCCGGCTCTAGTAGCGCTCTTCCATCGCGACACAGAGGCCCGCGGCGAGGCCTGACCCAATGTCACTTCTCTTCGCTTTGCTTTTTCTGAAGGATCAGGCTGCGGAGACCTCTTTGGGACAGAACTGTAAGCTGAGCGTCTGCCCTTAAGTCTCCTGTGGGTATTTCATGTCTAAAGGACGCTGCTATATATGTATAACTTTTGCTTTGAAGGTTTTTTTTAAACAAAACAAAACATATATATGCTGTTTATTTACTTATTTAAAAGACTTCCATGATAGGTTTCTCTGTAGCTTGGGGAACTTGCTGTTCTAAATGAGCAAGCTCAATGCATTCTGTGTGGAGAAGCCAAATAATAAAACAACTTGATGGGTAACCTTTCTTAATTAAGGGAGCAGCTATCTCAGATTTTTTTTTTTTAAAAAATGTCACTCTTATTTCCTTTACCAGGTTTGAAGGATGGAATCTTACCCAAATAATCACACCAACTTCTCTATAACCTTTGATATCTCTCAATAGATATTCTTAGATCACTAACTTCCTGCCACATTGAATTGCATGTATTATATGTGTATATATACACATATATATACACACACACGAAACCACACTAAACCTAGACTTTGGAACACAAGCACGCCGTCTATGGCAGAGCTCTACATTCACCACAAAGTTAATCAAGGTTTGTACCAATTTCCAAGAGCAATTTGGAAAGGACAAATTGTAGACTCAGGTAATGAATCCTATTTTACAAAAATGCAACGACATGAGGACTTTACCACAATAAAAAAAAGTGTTTCCATTTTGTTTGAGGTCCCCTCCCATTCAGAAACAGTGGGCCCTCATGATCGGTCATGGTAAGCATACAGTGCATGCAGAAATGAGCTTTTACTAAGAAAAAAGCAGGAGAGGTTGTCACTAGCTAGATTAGCAACTTCCTGCTTCCGAATCAGACAAGTACCTGATTTTCAACAAAAGAGATACTCATATAGGAGACAGTATGCAATTAGGTTATATATTGATTATAAAGTAAGGCTACAGAGAAATAACAGGCATTTCCTAAATCAATTCTCTACATTTAACATACAGCAATTTATTAAGAACGTCATTGTCTCGGGAATAGCCTCAGTTAAAATATAAAATAACTTTACATGTAATTGTTCTTCCTGTATGCACACACACACACAACACACACACACATACAATCTACCATCTTTTTGCTAAGAAAGTAAATTACATCCAGGTTATCTAAGATTTTATTTGTCCCTAGTGAAATGGATTTCATATTATAAAATTTGACATTTATCTTTAAATCAAGTGGGCTGGGCTTCTCCCCCAGCTGGGATCCTTTTAATTCTCCCCTCTGTTCTAAGAAGGTGCTTCTTGGGTCAAATGCCTGCTAATATTTTCTATGGCAAAGCATGCTAAAGTACCAAACACATGAAAACTGAAGTTGAGGAAGACAATAGAGGACGGTCAAATGGCATTTGGAAGCCTAGGACTTGAGGAAGAGTTGATTTTTGTTAGCTTGTTTCTATACCACTTAATCTGGTTTGACTACTTTGGGCTTTATAAATGGTTATCACCGTGTACAATGTTCCTTATCCAGAAAATTCTTGAAAATTGAAATCCATATCATAAGAGCACTGGACAGACAGGTTTAGAGAGCTTTTATAATCAGATAGGTAATTCCCCCCATTCAAACAAATGCCCTTCTGTGGCCTAGGAAAGATTTCCATGGTAAAGCTCCCCCCTTTGATTCCTAAAGCTTCTGATAGCTCTTTGGATGCCAAGGGGCAGTCTGGGGCAGACAAAATTAGGCACCAGGAGTGCAAATTTTAAGACAGTGTTCCCTCTCTAGGTCGTGTGAGTGACAAGTGTTAGCGACCTGAAATTGTCTCCTTAATTTTTCAGCCTTGGTTGTTGCTGGTGGTTGGTGGTGGTGTTGCTACTCGAATCCCAGCACTCATGAGGCAGAGGCTGGCAGACCTCTAGGTCTGAGGTGAGCCTAGACTACAAGTGAGTTCCAGGCCAGGCAAGGCTATGCAGTGGGGCTGGTTCAAAAGCAACAAATTGCACCCTGGGTTCTCTTGTCTCACCCCAGTCTAGAATCAGCCCAGCAGGATTGCACTTCAGTTCACAGCTCTCATTCTTACAATCCAGCTCCGCCTCATTTCAGTTACGGGGTGATCCAGATTCAGTACTTGGAGAAATTTACTGACAAATTTTTATAATCTCTGGTCGGGGTTGGGAGGCGGTGGAGAGCTAGTTAGTGAGAAGATGTAGGAGAATTTGAGATTCCGAAAACACCAGCCAACTTGCCAGTGCAAATAATGCCTGAAAACATCCACTCTGTGCTCTCCAGAGAGCAACACTTGGAGGAACTAAGCTTTCTCTGCGCAAAATAATTTTTAATGATACTTGCAGAAAACTAGAGGGCCTAACAGAGAAGAATTTTTCCCTATCTGCTTTTTTTAAAAAAAGAAGATATACTATTTACCTAAATTAACAAACTGCCCAAGAATTACATTTAAAATAGCTACAATGTTTCAATAACGTGGAGATTTTAGTCATCTTAATTTCATGTTAGAATCTTAGGGTGGTAGCATTGCTTGAAGGCTTTTTTTTTTATGTTTACCTGAAATCTGGCGACACAAAACTGTTTTGTGATTAATCAATTCTTTCAATGACCCCAGATTGGAAATTAGCCCAAATCTTCACACCACCCAAATCCACCAATAAACGTGTATAATAAGAATTTTCTTTAAAAAAAAAATTATATCAGTTTCATCATGGCCTAGAAAGCGTTAAATTCCAGGCTGCAGAAAAGCCCCAAAAAGGTTCTGAATTGTGGGAACTCTCCATACGTGCAGGACAGTTCCTTTCTTCAATTCTCCTGCCACAGTTTCCTCAAAAGCAATTAGTCCAGCACGACCAAAGTCTTTTTACATTTCAACAGACCTGACCAAAGCCGGGATTTTACTCCAACCTCAAATCGGCTCTTCCTTGGCTTCTCCAACCACCCGAGTTCCACCCAAAAAGCTCCGCAAAGGCCTCTGCGCCCCTGTCTGTCTCCCCTATAACCTCCTAGTCCGCGGCCACCCTCTCACCCCCCCCCCCAACCCAGTTGGTTTATAAAAATCTGGAGAGAAGAGGGGGGGGGAGCCCAGACTGGGGGGGGGGGCGGGCTTGTTCTTTGTTTACATTAAACAAATGACAGGCAAAGAGCTCCTGCAAAGTCTTCCTTGACCTCGTTCTCTCTCTCCAGTTTTCACAAAAAGGAGGAAAATATTGTATCCTAAGAACCGGTGAATGGGGCGGGCGGAGGGGGGCCGCAGCTTCTCGCTCTATTCAGTCGGGACCCCGGCGCGGCCGATTTCCGCTCCCATTGTGAGGCGGGCGGCGGGGACCGGGGGTCCGCGGGGCGGCCCGCGGGGCTGTCAGGCGGCTCAGCGTAATCAGGGCTAATGACAGCGGCCCGGGCCCCGCGGGACAAAGCGCCAGGCCGCGGGGCTTTGTCGGCCTGAATGGCTAATGGGT